TGATAGTTACCAATCAAACAATAATGAGAGGCGCTACCATCCTCTAGGGGATACTGAGAAAGGGCATGAGGAAACCACGGACACTGGAATAAACTCTATCTTGATCTGGGTGAGTTATGTGTATGTATAAAAACTCACCAAGCTAGGCAACTGGTGTACCTACTGTACGTTACTCTCTACATACAGATATACATTGTACTTGAATAAAATTAAAAGTATCAAAAAATGAGGAATATTTAATGATGTGATAAAAAGCTTATAATGTTAAATCCAAAAGTAGAACTTCACACTGAGAGGGAACATTATCGTACTTCTGATTTAGAATAAGAAGGGGGGGGGATTAAAGAAAATACACCAAAATGGTACCTCAGGGTGGAAGAATTTTCTTTATAGTTCACTGTAGTTTCAAAATCTCTAGTTACCAAACAATAAATTTTAAAAATACATAAATATATGTTATTTTTAATTTAAATTCAGCTAGCCAACGTATAGTACATCTTTAGTTTTTGATGTAGTATTCAATGACTCATTAGTTGCGTATAACATCCAGTGCTCATCATATCATGTGCCCTCCTTAAGGCCCATCACCCAGTTACACTATATATATATATTTTTTTTTTTTTAAAGATCTTATTTATTTCAGAGAAAGAGAGTGTGAGAGAGCACACGAGTCGGTGGGGAGGGGTAAAGGGAGAAGCAGGCTCTCCGATGAGCAGGGAGCCCAATGCCAGGACCCCGGGATCATGACCTGAGCCAAAAGCAGATGCTTAACCAACTGAGCCACACAGGGACCCCAATATATATATATTTTTTAATTCAGAAAAAGTACCAACTAGATCTGGAATTTGAGGACATAACAGAAAAAATAACATCTGCAAATTTATTAAAAGAACCTTCAAACATCTGATATACAACAATGCTGGTACAAACTTAAGTGACTGACTACAAAGGACCAGGTTAACACCCACAATAGTGTGCAAACACCGCCTGCTTATTTTATAAAGTACAAGATATCCAGAAAGGGGAAGGGGAAAAAAAAAAAGCAACAACCCTAAGACTCCCTAGGAAGGCAAAGAAACCATGGTGCTGGAGATTCAGAGACAGGAAATTACAGAGTTGTACATTTTCCCACACATAATACCTAAGGGCTGAAGCCTGCTTAAAACTCTTAAGACACAACTTTTGAGGTGCCTTTGCTCTGAAGGTTCTGATCCTAAAGATTTTAAAAATCCAGGAAAGGCAGTAAGATCTAATAAAATAATGAATGTCTAGGCCTACCCTAATACATAGGGAAGAAGGAAACTAATTTTCAGTAGCTAATTGTTCCTTTAGTAAGTCTTTCTCCCCCCGCCCAACAAAAAAAACATTATTAGCTATATGGGGAGTATCTTATCTCAGTCCCCTACAATTCAAATTTTATATTTTTATTTATTTAACTTTTTGAGAGTGAGGGAAGAGCAGAGGGGGGGAGAGAGAGAGAATCTTTTTTTTTTTTTAAGATTTTATTTATTTGAGAGAGATACAGCGAGAGAGAGAACACAAGCAGGCTTCCCACTGAGCAGAGAGCCTGATACGGGGCTCGATCCCAGGGCCCTGGGACCATGACCTGAGCCGAAGGCAAACGCTTAACAACTGACCCACCCAGGCACCCTGAGAGAGAAAATCTTAAACAGGCTCCACGCTCAGTGCAGAGCCCCACGTTGGGCTCAATCTCACAACCCTGAGATCATGACCTAAGCCGAAAATCAAGAGTCGGAAGCTTAACCGACTGAGCCACCCAGGAGCCCCTAGAAGTCAAATTTTAGTCCTTACTTAGCACAAGTAATGAATGCCAAGTTTTCTTTCCATTATTTTAAGTGAAGATTATTTTTATGGTATTAATTTCTAAAAACCAAAAGGAAGAAAAATCACTAATCCACTGTCTGGCACTTTATATACAGCATCAAACATTTTCACCTGGGCTATCGTTAGGACTTGGCCGACAGTTAGGCAGTCAGGGTAGGGTCCCCAGCAAGAAGATACGGAGTCAGGACAGCTAAAATAAAACAGCACTGACATCCTGTTCTGCAGCTTACACAGGACCTCACTAACATTCTGTTTTGCAGCCTTTGCAGAAATGATTTTTGCAAAACGACCTAAAATAAGACAATTAACCACAAAGCATTTGTCAATATCACCAGCAAGGGGCAGTTAAGACATAAGCTTCCAGATGTCAGTAAGAAAAAAAGACCATCAGCACAGAAACATTAACCTAACAGGTAGACAAATATGTGACCAAAGCCCTGATTGGCACGACTCAGCAAACCCTGATTGCTTAAGATAGCTCCACAAAAGAGGTCATAATAACCCCTAAACTTAGAAACTCCAAGGGCAACCCACTGAGCCCCCCTCCCTTTCTGGGAGCTTTATACTCTTGCTCAATAAACTTTGCTTTGCTGCCCACCACTATTCATCTGGTCTACCTCTTCATTCTTGGAAGTGGTGTGACCAAGAACCACGGGCATTAAGGGGACTCAAATCCTGCCACATTATATTATCAAAGGGACAGAGGTGTTGAGCAGAATGGAGCAAAAGAGCACAGAAAGGAGAGTTGTGGAAGGAAACAGAAGAAACAAGAAAGAGGGACTGAGTTCAGCAAAGTAAACTTGGGCAGGTAAGGGGAGAATGGATGGAAAAGCAAAATAACTGTGGCTAAAATCACCTCCAAATAGCTTATTTCAATAGCATTTTTTAGGCAGTGGGGAAGCTAAGGGAAGAGGAAGAGAGATGAGAAACCAGGCAGGGCTGGGGCACCTGGATGGCTCAGTCAGTGGAGCATGCGACTCTCGATCTTGCACTGGTGGGTTCGAGCCCCACACTGGGTGTAGAGATTACTTAAAAATAAAATCCTTAAAAAAACAAAATGATAAATTTAATAAATAAATAAATAAAAGTAAGGTGCTTTCTGCTTCACTGTCATTATCATGTCCATAAATTATTATGGCTATATTTTGCCCAATTATCAAAAGCACCTAGAACTGATTAAAACCGCAAGACAGTAAAATCAGATGAGAGGCCAAAGTTCACTGGAACTCTAATATTACCAGCACTAGTCTCTCTTGAGTTAGTTTTTTTGGTGTGGTTTTTTTTAAGGCTCTCGAAACCTTGAACAAACAAATCCAACAGCCAGTGAAAACTGACACACCCAGAAACTCTCAGCAAAACATTTACGTCATAGTTCACAATAGATTGTCCTATTCCATCTACAGGTGGCCTTGCCTGGAGCTAAAGGTTGAAAGAAAACACCTTCACACTTTATGGAGGAAAAAGAAACCAAGCAGGCCTCAAGGCAAGGTTAGGAACGTAGGAACTCCACTCTCAGTGGTGTGTACCCACCATACGTTCTGATGTTCCTAAGACTGTTTCCTTTTGGCTCCTTAACTAGAAGAAAATCTCATCTAAAGTTCTAGATTTCTTAAAATCAGGCATTCACAGGGATGCCTGGGTGGCTCTGTCAGTTAGGCGTCTGCCTTCGGCTCAGGTCATGATCCCAGGATCCTGGGATCGAGTCCCGCATCGGGCTCCCTGCTCAGCGGGGCGCCTGCTTCTCCCTCTGCCTGCCACTCCCCCTGCTTGTGCTCTCTCTCTTTCTCTCTCACAAATAAAATAAAATAAAATCTTAAAAAAAAAAATCAGACATAACAGAATGCCAGAGCTATGGGAGCCTTCAAGATGACCAATGTCTTTATCCCTGACCTGACCAACAATCCCCACCCTTTGCGCTCTTCCCTCCACTCCCACTGGCTAGAACAAACCTGTGTCCAGGTTTCTCAACTAACCCTCATGGTAAGAAGTCAGTCTGCTCAAAGAAACCTATGATGGCAGTTTCTGAGGATGTTTCCAACTGCTTCCTAACAGGGTTTCTGAGAAAGTCTCACTTCAGACATCTCTGAAGACATGTTAGGTATCAGTAATATATATTTCCCAGATATTTTTAAAGAGAGGAACTTCCTAAGCTTTCAGCAAATCACATCTACACATACTGGTAGAAATAACAATACAGTATATATAAAAAAGGGAATTGCTCTAATCTCTTTGCCTCACTGAAGTATTTCATAAGTATCCATGCAGTCACTGTAATTTGCTACGCTGTTATTGATGTAAAAACTTCAGAAGTATGGCACCTGCTACCACTCCAAAAACACCCTTCTTAACCCAAGACAGCAAGCACCCTAAGCAACAGTGTTCCCCTCCAAAATGACAACCAGGAAAACATACCGGGAGGGGGAGGAATGGTACTGTTTTGCAAAGACCAAGTTCTTTCTGCATGATTCCTTTAGAAGCCATTTCTTTTCAGTGCCTAAATACACTTCTTAAAAATGGAAATCTGAGGGGTGCCTGGGTGGTTCAGTCAGCTAAGCGTCCAACTTTTTTTTTTTTTTTTAGGATTTTACTTATTTATTTGAGAGACAGAGAGAAAGCACAAGTGAAGGGAGAAGCAGAGGGAGAGGGACAAGCAGACTCCATGCTGAGCATGGAGCCCAATGCCAAGCTAAATCCCACAACCCTGAGATCATGACCTGAGCCGAAATCAAAAGTCAGACCCTTAACTGACTGAGTCACCCAGGCGTCCCAGCGCCCAACTCTTGATTTGACTCAGGTCATGATCTCAGAGTCGTGAAATCAAGCCCCATGTCGGGCTCAGTGCAGAGTCTGCTTGAGATTCTCCCTCCCCCTCTGCCCCTCCCCCTCCCTGCGCTTGAACCCCCCCCCCAACAAAAATATAAAAATTTAAAAAAAAAAAAAATCTGGTTTTCATTTTGCAGTAAAACAATTTCCACTTATCATAGCACCTTCTTAAAGATCTGAGTAAAAACATGAGGGCACAACTTTTGCAACAAACAAAAACAGTAATTCTAAGAACATAGTTTCACAAAGCACTAAAGGTCAGGTTTAGAGACAGAAACCTGGTGTTTTAATAAAATACAGGACATTTGCTGATTTTTTTTTTTAACACTTACCCACTCTTCAACATTGGGGGGTTGTTCATCATAAATATGTTCCTTGTCCCACAAAATATTCGACTTGTCATACTGGTCCATCTTTCTTCGAGTTTTCACAGCAAAGAAAATTATTAAAGCAAAAGCCACGATAACCATGAACCCCAGTACAATCGCAATTGCCTAAAAAGAGATTAAAGATATTGACACAGATTTTAATTGTTTATCCTAATCCACCCTCAGTAAAAACCTAAGGGCCTACACTACATATCTGTGGTTTAATAGATATAAAACTGATACAGTTACATTTTAGAAATATAAAATGTTGGGCTGAGGCTAACAACACATACACAGCTTAATTCAATACTCAGAACAGGCTTACAGTTAGGTACTATCATTCCCTTTTAAATTACAGAAATCTAGTTCCAAAGCTTGAGCACCCAAGTGGCCTTATTTTTATTAACAGATGAAAATGGCCAGTAAATTAACTCAATCATCAGTATCCTTCTAAAGGGCTTGAAAAATGTTACTCAGAAATAGCTTTAAATACATAACCATGTTTATAATCTCGTTCATAACACATACTGAGCAAATGTTTTTACACTGAATGTAAATTCCAGTCTATAGAGGATCTATCTTACCATAAATTATGACATGATCTAACCAAGCTATAAATTAAGAGAAAATGGATGAGTGATTCATGTAGTCTGGCAGGTGGTTTCTGTTGGAGGAGTCTTTTGTGTACTCACAAGAAAGGGCCCTGTGACAAGGAAACCTTTGCCCCGACAGTTCTCCCAGTGTCTGATAAGTATGTTAAGTGGTCGACTGGCCTGGAGACACTTGAAAGTGAGGCAGTACCAGGACCCTGGCCTGGATTCTGCTCATCGTAACAGGAGGGTCTCTGTGCAGCCACCTAACAGTGATATCCTTTTTCAGTGAATACAGGTTTCGGGCACACAGAGGACTAAGAGAGATGGGGGTGTGGTAAGAGAGGAGCACCAACCCTCAGCCCTGTTTACCAGAGATACATCTGAATGCCAACAACAAATACTCTGAAATTCAGAGGGAAAACATTTCAGTCTTCAAAATAATGGTAGTTACTGGATATGATCTCACCCCAAAAGAGTGACTCATTCAGGTAAAAGAGAATTCCTGAGTCAACGTAAGGAGAGGAAAAAAAAAATTAGGAAAAAAAATTACAAATCAATCAGGAAAAAGATTAGCAACTTCACACCTATTAGCATGGTTAGAATCAAATAGACAAAACAATGCTGGTGAGCATGTGTAAAAAATGGAATCCTCACACATTTCTGGTAAAGGTAAAACAGAGCAACCAGTTTGGAGAACAGTCTGGCAGTTCCTCAAAAGCTTAAACACACAGAAGAGACATCCTAAGACCCTGCAATTCTATCCCTAGGTATATATATACTCAAGAGAAATTAAAACACAGATTCACACAAGAACCTGTACACAAATGTTCAGAGCATTATTCATAAGAGCCAGTATGGACATAGCCCAAATGTCCATCAATTGATGAATGAATAAAATATGGTATAGCCATACAATGGAATACTATGCAGCAATAAAAAGGAATTGATATAACATGCATGAACCTGGAAAACATTAATGTGAAATGAAAGAAGCCAATCATAGGGGCGCCTGGATCGCTTAGTCGGGAGTGGGGGTGGGGGTGAGCATGTGACGCTTGATCTTGGGGTTGTGAGCTCGAGGCCCACAATGGGTCCAGAGATTACTTAAATAAAACTTAAAAAAAAGAAAGAAGCCAATCATAAAAGATCACATACTGTGTGATTCTGTATATATGAAATATCCAGAATAGGCAAATCTATAGAATAAGATTAGTAGTCGGCTAAATCTCGGAAGGATTAGAGAAAGGAGAAGTTACTGCTAATGCATATGGGGGTTCTTCTGAGGATAGTGAAAATGTTCTAAAACTGATTACGGTGACGGCTGCAGAACTCTGAATATACTCAAATTACTGAACCAAACTTTAAGTGGATGAATTATATGGTATGCTAATACTATCTTAACAATGACACCCAGCCCCTCTCCACATTCTGATTTAAATACAAGTGAGGCCTTGTCATCAATACTTTTTGAAAGTTCCCAAAGTGATTCTGTTAAGCATCCCAAGTGCCTATACCCAAAGCAGGGGCAAGGACGAAAACCACCGATACCTCTTGGGGATCCACCACACAGTAGTGATACAAATATTGATCCATGTAAAGTCCAGTAGTTGCAGATGCATAAAACTGGTTGCAGATGGCATATATCTGTGCACTGTACATAGACCCAGAAGCCTGGGCAGTTGGGTTTACTCCCATTATATAGACAATTGTGGCAATAAACATCATGACGCCCAGGATAGCGCTCAGTATTATGACAGTCAAGTAGTATCTTCTTGTTCTAGATATGTCAGATCGTATTACGCTGGTAACAAATACTACCAATGCAGCAATGAAACAAAAGGCCACCATGGCTAGGAGGAAGCCCTTTGCTGCTCTTGGATCTGTGTAGCCTCCATAGCCATAACCATAGCCATAACCATAGGCATAGCCACTTCCGTAGCTCCCAAAGCCACTGCTGTAAGGGTAGCCTAGACCACCACCCAGTACACCAGTTCCATAGCCTCGATCCCAGGCAAGTGTGGAGGCAACACAGGCAAATATGGCAATGCACATCACGATAACGAGCATAGACAGAATCCGAATGACTCCTGGAGGAGAGGTCCATTTGTAGAAGTGAAGAATTTCATCTTCTGGGTAGAAAGAATACGCCGGCTGAGAGAGCATGGGTCGAATGTGCATGTCTCCACCATAGACATCATTGCTTGGTGCGTAATGATTGGGTTTGCTGAAATGCACATGAAAACACTTTCAAATTAATACTGTTTGGAGGAAGCAGAAAGAACACAGAATGGACATGGAAATAATTTAAACCATCTACTGGCAAAAAACAAAACCAACTTTCAGTACCGCCCCACTACAACAGGACACTTTATGTCCCCCCAAATTCAAATGTCAACATCCTAAGCCCCAATGTGATGGTATTAGAAGGTGGGGCCTAACTAGGTTCCGAGCTGGAGCTCCCATGAATGGGAACAGTGCCTTCACAAAGGAGACCCCAGAGAACCGTCCTGCCCCTTCTACCATGTGAGGATACAAGAAGCGGGCAGTATGCAACCCAGAAGAGAACCTTCTCTAGAACCTGACCACACTGGTACCTTATTATCATGGACTTCCAGCCTCCAGAACTGAGAAATAAATTCATGTTGTTTATATGCTACCCAGTGTGTGGTACTGTGTTATAGCACCCTGAAGCTACTGAGACACCCACTGAAGAGTTAAGGTTTCTGTGTATCAGAATCACCTGGAGGGCTTGTTAAAACATAGATTGTTGGTCCCCAACCCCAGGTTGCTGATTCTGCAAGCCTGGGTTGGACAAATTTCCAGATACTCCTGCTGCTGAAAGTCTGGGAGCCATACATTGAAAATGACTGCTCTAATTTCTACAGAGTAGAGGTTCTCGCATTTTCTCCTATTAGAGTCACCTGGGGAATGTGTATAATCCCCAGCTGGAGCACTCCACACCAGTTAAACTGTAATCCCTCGGGAGGGCACCCAAGCAGTTTAGAACAATGATGTCAACCCCTTGGCTTGTGTGATGTGAGACCAGTGCATTCAGATATGACACCTACAGTGGCCCATCCAGTGTCTCGTCCAATTTCTGGCAGCCTCACTCTCCTGCCTGAGAAAGCAATCTTTCATTTATTCACATGACAGCTATTTACTGGAGCTGCCGGGCTGATGTGTGTGGGGCAGTGTGCTAAGTACTGAGGATACTACAATCAACAGAAGTGCCTCAACCCAGGCCCCCCACAGGTTAGTCTCTTCGAAGGCAGTAAGACATTACATCACCACATGATCTCTAGCTAGTTATGGTAAGAGCTACAAAATAAATCAAATATTCAGTGAGGGCTCATCAGGGTGATGCCTAATTGGATCTTTATCAAAAGAGCTTGCCAACTCTAGTGACTGAATCATAAACATCACTGGAGACACACACTGATGTGTGACACACAGAATCTAAGAAATGTGGGTCCTGGCAGAGCAAAATTCAATTCCTAAACTGACCTCACCCCCTTTTGTTTTTGCCATTATTTTCTTGGTCCACTTCTCTCTTTCCAAAGCAAGACATCTTACAACTGGGTGCTGCCAACCACAAGAATTCAAGGAAATGGAGAAAGTGGAAAAGAACCCTGACAAGCTGGTCTTTGAAAATGTCATGTATGAAAATTCCGTAACTCATTCTTACTTGGTTATTTGGGATGTCTCCCTCTGGAGCTGTCATGAACAATGTAGATCTGGGCATCTTGAACACGTGCCCTCACACACACAAGCACTTCTTTTTCTAAGGTATATATCTAGGAGAATTTTTGAGTCAAATTTTTTTTTTACCTTCAGCTCTATGAGATAATGTCAAAGTGTTTTCCAAAAAAATTATATCACTTTTTTAAAAAAATAATTCTATCATTTAAAATCCCATTGACATTGTAACATTCACAGAAGCATTGTTTATGATAACCTGAAACTGGAAACAGTCCAGATGTTTACCTAGAGGGGGAAGAGGTGACTTAACATATCCATAGGATGGAATGCTACAGAGATGAGCTGTCTAATATGGCAGCCACTAGCCACATGATTTACTGGGGACTTGAAATATAGCTGGTCCAAACTGAGATGTGCTGTTAAGTATAAAATACTTAGTTATCACAGTATAAAAAAAGAAATGTAGGGGTGCCTGGATGGCTCAGTTAAGCATCAGACTCTTGGTTTCAGCTCAGGTCATGACCTCAGGGTCATGGGATCAAGCCCCATGTTGGGCTCTGCACTGAGCAGGGAGCCTGCTTAAGATTCTCTATCCTTCTTCCTCTGCCCTTCCCTCCACCACTCATGCTCCCCCGCCACTAAAAAAAGAAAAAAAAATTTACCACCACCTAGAGAGAACCCTAATATTAACTATGTATTTTGGGTGATAATGATTTCTCAGTGAAGGTTCATCAATTTTAACACATGTACCACTCTGGTGGGGGATACTGATAATGGGGTAGGCAAGGCAGGTATAAGGGCGGGGGCATATGGGAAATCTCTGTACCTTCCTCTCATAGTTTTGTTTTGAATGTAAAACTGCTCTAAAAAATAACGACTACTGGGGTGCCTGGGTGGCTCAGTCGTTACGCGTCTGCCTTCGGCTCAGGTCATGATTCCAGGGTCCTGGGATCAAGTCCCGCATCGGACTCCCTGCTCCTTGGGAGCCTGCTTCTCCCTCTGCCCCTCTCTCTCTCTGTCTCTCATGAATTAATAAATAAAATCTTTTAAAAAAAAATTAAAAAAATATTTAACAAAAAAAAGACTTAAAAAAGGAATGTAAACTACCTCATGAGTCAGTTTATACATGTTGAAATGATACATTAAATATATTAGGTTAAGTGAAATATTAAATATTAAATTATATATTATATAAAATTAATATGATTATTAAATTTGTTTTTAATTCATTAGAAGAAAAAATTACATATATGGTTTACATTTATATTTCCTTTTTTAAAAGTTTTTATTTATTTATTTTAGAGAGAGACAGAGCATGGGGAGAGGGAGGGCAGAAGGAGGAAGCAGACTTCCTGCTGAGCAGGGAACCCAATGTGGGGCTCGATCCCAGGACCCCAAGTTCAGGACCTGAGCTGAAGGGAGAGGCTTAACTGACCAAGGCACCCAGGAGCCCCTCACATTTTATTTCTATAGCACTCCTTTGAAGCAAAAGAAGTTTGATAACAAAGTAAAACTGAAATGTATTGTTTAGGATATATAAAACAGTAAAAAAAAGAAAAGAAAAGAAAATCAAGTGATAACCATATGTAAGGGGCGCCTGGGTGGCTCAGTCATTAATCGTCTGCCTTCAACTCAGGTCATGATCCCAGCGTCCTGGGATCAAGTCCCACATCCGGCTCCCTGCTCCACGGGAAGCCTGCTTTTCCCTCTCTTGCTCCCCCTGCTTGTGTTCCCTCTCTTGCTGTGTCTCTCTCTGTCAAATAAATAAATAAAATCTTTAAAAAAAAAAAAAAACCATATGGAAGAACAGTGGTTTCCAGGGAAAGGTGGGAACACACGGAAGGACTTGAAGGTGTTCTATTTCTTAACCTACATGATGATTTTGCTTTCTTTTTATTCATTATTTCATACACACGTTCTGTGCCATTGTCTATGTGTGTGTTATATTTCACCAATGTTTACAAAAGCAACCCAAAATAAGTCTCGGGTTCATGGAGCACTACTCAATTACTATATTCTCTAGCATAACTGAAGGACCGTATCATCACGAACAACTGTGTCCCCATAATGTTCAGGTATTAGTCAAGAGGCAATGTAACAGGAGCACAACTCCTACTACAGTTATCAAAGAGCTGAGGCTACAAACTACTTAAAGGAAAAAGACTCTATCAATGTTTGGTAATAAATTTAAAATTTTTCACTGTTAAATTTCCAAATGACTAGTGATGCCAAGAACCCTCAAATTTGCTTCTTATTTTATATAGTGGCAGGAATCACTCTTACAACTGACAATGTGGAAAACATTATGCCAAGCCAAAGAATCAGTCACATAGGACCACATACTGCATGATTACATGTAGAGGAAATGTGCAAAATGGACAAATCCAGAAACAGAAAGATTGGTGATGGCGTAGTATGGGGGGGGCGGGGGGGAGACATGAGGAGTGAGTGCTAATCGGTAGCGGTTTCTTTGGGGAGAGGGTGATGAAAATGTTCTGAAACTGATGTAGTGATGGTTGCACAACTCTGTGAATATGCTAAAACCACTGAACCGTCCATTCTAAATGTGTGAATTGTATGGTGTATGACCTCTATCTCAATAAAAGTATTACTTAAAAAATTAACAATGAGGGGGCGCCTGGGTGGCTCAGTTGGTTGAGCGACTGCCTTCGGCTCGGGTCATGATCCTGGAGTCCCGGGATCAGGTCCCGCGTCGGGCTCCCTGCTCAGTGGGGAGTCTGCTTCTCCCTCTGACCCTCTTCCCTCTCGTGCTCTCTCTCCTTCTCTCTCTCAAATAAATAAGTAAAATCTTTAAAAAAAAATTAACAATGAGGCAGCGTTAGGGTCAGTCACCTAAACAAAGCATTAAATCAGAAGCTTCATACCATTTGTGAAAAAACAAAAATGAATAAATAGACACACAAGTATCAGCCTAGATTATACAGAAGCAAACAACAGCAACAGGTGACAGTAGTTTGCCTCTACAGAGAAACACCAGCATCCTGCAACAGATGAATGGATGAAGAAGATGTGGTGTATATATACACAATGGAGTATTATGCAGCCATCAAAACAAAACAAAACAAAATTAAAATCTTGCCATTTGCAACAACGTGGATGGAACTGGAGGGTATTATGCTGAGCGAAATAAGTCAATCAGAGAAAGACATGTATCATATGTCCTCACTGATATGAGGAATTCTTAATCTCAGGAAACAAACTGAAGGTTGCTGGAGTGGTGGGGGGTGGGAGGGATGGGGTGGCTGGGTGATAGACATTGGGAAGGGTATGTGCTATGGTGAGCGCTGTGAATCGTGTAACACTGATGAGTCACAGACCTGTACCTCTGAAACTAATAATACATTATATGTTAAAAAAAAAAAAAAAAGAGAGAGAGAGAGAGAAACAAGGGAAAAATGAAGGGGTGGAAATCGGAGGGGGAGACGAACCATGAGAAACTAGGGACTCTGCGAAACAAACTGAGGGTTCTGGGGGGGTGGGGGGGATGGGTTAGCCTGGTGATGGGTATTAAAGAGGCCATGTATTGGGGGTGCCTGGGTGGCTCAGTCGTTAAGTGTCTGCCTTTGGCTCAGGTCATGACCCCAGGGTCCTGGGATCAAGCCCTGCATCGGGCTCCCTGCTCTGTGGGAAGCCTGCTTCTCCCTCTCCCACTCCCCCTGCTTGTGTTCCCTCTCTGTGTCTCTCTGTCAAATAAATAAATAAAATCTTAAAAAGAAAAGAAAAGAGGGCACGTATTGAATGGAGCACTGGGTGTTATACGCAAACAATGAATCACGGAACACTACATCAAAAACTAATGATGTATGGTGATTAACATAATAAAATAAAGAAACACCGGTATCCTGGAAGTTAAGCTTCGGGGGGGGGGGGGGGACTCACTTCCAGTTTATACACTTTGTTTTAATCTAAATTTACAAACACACATATTGTTATTTTTAATAGCAAACACTTAACAGATGAAAGTTTCAACTATACGTACTTTTTACACGTGACATGCTTAACAAAAAGAAAAAACCAAAAACTAAAGAATTACTTACAATTCATCAGGTCTATATGGAGGTGGACTTTCAAAAGGCCTCGATGACATGGCTGATGTCAATGATCACCTGATCTTCAGGATGAGCACTGCCCCGCAGCTCCCCCAAAATAAGCCAATCTAAGCAACGTAAGGAAGGTAATGGCATTACTACAAAGCTCAGAGTTTCCTTGCATCACTAAGAAAACTAATGATACCAATCTCAAGTAACTTCACACACCAAGATTATTCCTCTTGTCCTTCTCAATGACATCCTTACACATTGGACCATCAATTCCTTGAGTACAGGAAATCACTGAGCATAGCAACCATTCAGTCTGGTGGTCCTCACAGCCCCAAGCACCCTGCTCTGCACACCACTGACATACAAATACTAACTTTAATGACTAAGTTGTAGTAATAAATATTTCACAAAGATTTTACAGCATAGGTAAAAAATGGTATTTTTCAAAACCACTCCTTCAAAAAACAAGAAATGTAAAAAATAAGAAAATTTCTTAAAATGTGTTTAAGTTTTGGTAACACCATTTTTTTTTAATTTTTATTTTCTTTGACAACAAGCGAGCACACACACAAGTGGTGGGAGGGGCAGAGGGAGAATCTCAAGCAGACTCCCTACTGAGTGCAGAGCCTGATGTGGGGCTCAATCTCATGACCCTGAGATTAAGACCTGAGCCGAAATCAAGAGTCGGATGCTTAACCTGATGAGCCACCCAGGTGCCCCAATGAACCAGTAGTTATTAAGTACTTACACTATACCATGGAAGTCTGTAGAAATACTACAGAAGGTCACACACAAAGAAAAAAACAACTACAACAGGTAGTTATTTAGTTATTAGGGCTGACTACATTATCAAGTGCAGGACAGGGATAAGCAGAGGAGAAAAACCAAGACTTAAAGAAGAAGAGGAAGAAGCTGGGGGTTGGGGTGGGGGGGGGAGAAGAAAGATCACTTGAGCAACATCTACAATCTGAGTATATTAAACTGTATACTATTTTTTCCTTTTCAAATAAAGTATGTGCAAAAAAGGTATTATGTTAGGAAAAGTAAATAAATTCAAACTCTCTAAATTGTGTTCTTTAGAATCAATGGCAACTATCCTCCACATCCTTAAGGACAGTCAATTCCAAATTTCTCAGAATAAAATGTTGCCCAAATGTTTATCACGTAAAACCTCAAAGATGGAAATAAATTGAATGTTAGGAACACCAAGACAATTAGCATGATTTTCCAAACACAGTGAGGGAAGACAACTTATTATTTAAAAATGAAAAAACAAAAAAACTGTTTTACTCAAGTATTAACATACCAAAAAATGCACAAATCCTAAGTGTATAGAGCCCTGGAACTAGCACCCAAATGCACATTTAAATGGGCAACTCAGGCCATTAGCACATTACAGTGTTACGGAAGAGTAAAAGTCCAGACTGGCTTCCTAACTGATGTTCAAAAAAAGAACATTAAAAAAAATGAATTTAAACACTATTAGGGGCACCTGGGTGGCTCAGCCAGTTAAGCAACTGACTCTTGATTTCCATGGCTCAGGATGCGATCTCAGGGTCGTGAGATGGAGCCCCTAGAGAGCCTCCACGCTCAGCACAGGGTCGGCTTGAGATTCTCCCTCTCCATCTGCCCCTCCCCCCCACTCATGAGCGCAAGGGCACGCACTCACTCCCTAATGAATAAATAAATCTTTATTTTTTTTAAAGATTTTATTTGACAGAGAGAGAGCACAAGTAGGCAGAGCGGTAGACAGAGGGAGAGGAAGAAGCAGGCTCCCCGCCAAGGAAGAAGCCTGATACAGGGCTGGATCCCAGGACCCTGAGACCATAACCTAAGCCGAAGGCAGACCCTTACCCAACTGAGCCACCCAGGCGCCTCAATAAATAAATCTTTAAAAAGAGAAAAGATAAACTTAATTTAAACACTATTAAACGTAGGACTCCCGTTCTGAAGCTGAATGTCAAAATACTGACAAACGAACTCTGCCCTTTTATAGCTCCAAGTCACTCATTCAAGACTATGACAAAAATTCCAGGCTCCACATTAGTTTTATAAGTCATCTCTACACCCAACTTGGGGCTTGAACTCACGACCCTGAGATCAAGAGTCACATGATCTACCAACTGAGCCAGCCAGACACCCCTCCATGGTAGTTTTTGGAAATTCTAAATTAATCCAGACTCAGGCTGAAGTTTAAATTTTGTCAAAAATCCAGGGCGCCTGGGTGGCTCAGTTGGTTAAGCTACTGCCTTCGGCTCAGGTCATGATCCTGGAGTCCCAGGATCAAGTCCCACATCGGGCTCCCTGCTCGGCAGGGAGTCTGCTTCTCCCTCTGACCCTATCCCCTCTGATGTGCTCTCTCTCTCTCATTCTCTCTCTCTCAAATAAATAAAATCTTTAAAATAAATAAATAAATAAATAAATTTTGTCAAAAATCCAGACACCAAAATCCCTTTCCAAACTGCTATTTCATGGATTCGGAGTTTAGTTATCATATCCCCTCTAATACCAGAGATTTTATCTTGTGAAGCAAGTAATTTTAGGAAGTTTATCAAGAACAAGGCATGCCATATAAGCTTCATTTCCTTTTTTGAGGTTACCAAACTGGTAGATGAAGCCCTAGAATCTTCAGCACATCCCCGTGCACAGACATTCCTCTGGGACTGAAAAATGAAATCTAAACAGGATAAAAGAACAGTACATTCATGACCCCAAGGTCCCGGGATCGAGTCCTACATTGGGCTCCTTGCTCAGCGGGGAGTCTGCTTCTCCCTCTGCCTGCCCTTCCCCCTGCTTATGCTTGCTTCCTCTCTCTCACAAATAAATAAAAATCTTAAAAAAGAACAGAGAGGGAGGTCGTTTGGTGACCACAGACAAGATGGGCAAGCTTATCCAAATTTGCAGCTGACAAAACACCGGAAAGGATAACCAACCAACCCACCGGCTTCAAGTATATCAAATTCTCTGTGGGGCCAGACTGATGGGCTAAAACAAACCCAGGGGTGCCTGGGTGGCTCAGTCGTTACGTGTCTGCCTTCAGCTTAGGTCATGGATCCCAGGATCCCGGGATCGAGCCCCACATCGGGCTCCCCAGTCTGCGGGAAGCCTGCTTCTCCCCCTCCCACTCTCCCTGCTTGTGTTCCCTGTCTTGTTGTGTCTCTCTCTGTCAAATAAACAAAATCTTTAAAAAAAATAAAAAAATAAACCCCGTGGTTTTAAAAGCTCACTGTGAGTGGACAAATTCTACTACTCTTCCTTGAACCTCACTACCCTCCTATGCCAAAGGGCAGGGGATAAGCCTGACCTCTAGGCTGGAATAATTAAGATAATATATTAAGGAAGATGAGAAAAGCATTCACAGCAAGGTGGTTATCTTGAAAGTGAGACATTCCAGTGTTTAGGCACTTAGATACATTGTATCCATTTTCAAATACTGGTGACATGAATAAATCATTTTATAAAGTCTCGGAGACTCACTTTTTAAAAGTGCATTTCCTTGGTAAGAATTTCAACAAAGTTAAGAAGTTATCCCAAACTTTGGCAGTAGTCACAGACAGGTGCTTCCATCTAGGAATGATACACTTTAAAAATAAACTTCTGCATAACCATGAATCTGTACATCGTGTTCCAATGAGCTGCCTCTCCTGGAGGTGACTGACCATTCAAGAACTAGAAAAACCATGTCTTTAAGACAAATGACTGAAAAAACAGGAAATGTTTGGCCTGGTCAAATCAACATTAGAAGGACCACTACAGCAGCCTTCAAATATCTGCAGAGCTGTCTTTGTAATGCTAGAAACCATTCTTTGAAGAAAAGATACCACAGGATCAGATTTCATGTCAATGTTAGGAAGCCTCTCCCTTACCCTGACTCCACACACCCTTCAAAAATAACAAATAACAATTTTTATCTGAAGCCGTGTATGCAAAGCTTAAGTTGTTTGATATTCTGGGGAGACTGGACTGAAGGAACTGTAATATTAGTCTCCTTCAAGTCAGTCTGGAACTGTGCCTTCAGGTCACAGCCAAAGACAAAAAAGGACCAAGAACAGACTATTACCCAACCCCCTGCAGGGCAATATTAACATTATCTGCTCAATAAATGTATGTTGAGTGAAGGACAAAATAAAACGAATGGAGAGGATACAGGATCCGGCCTAAGGGGCTCAGTGGCCACGGTCACAGAGCCTGACCAAAGCAAGTGAAAGGGAACCAAGTCAAACAGCTGAGAGTCAGGAGCATAAGGGAAAAGATTGATTGACGTTAAAATATACAAAAAGTTCTCCCCTTAGGTTTACTGGCCAAAGCTGTCCTAATAAAAATCTAAGCTAAGGGCGCCTGGGTGGCTCAGTCGGTTGAGCGTCTGCCTTCGGCTCAGGTCATGATCCCAGGGTCCTGGGATCGAGCCCCACATCGGGCTCTCTGCTCGGCGGGAAGCCTGCTTCTCCCTCTCCCACTCCCCCTGCTTGTGTTCCTGCTCTTGCTATCTCTCTGTCAAATAAATAAATAAAATCTTTTAAAAAAAAAAAATCTAAGCTAAAGAAGAAAAGCCTGAAAATACTATGCCCCTGAATAATTCCTTAAAGCAACTGTCAGTAAGTAAAAGATAAATTTTATCATATTTAAGGAGAGCCTATTCCTTTTCAATCACATGCAGCAATAGTTAATTTGCCTTTAAGAAGTTTTTAAAAGTTGTGGCTGGTACTAAATGTTTCTATTTATTTTTTGGCACATAATTAGTAAGTTGTCTAAAATTTTAAAATTAGACAGATTTTGCAATAGACAATGGGCTCTGTATCCGAAAATGCATTTCAAATAAGCTTTCCAGATGATTCTTAAGCACACCATGTATTTCCAGCAGTATCACTGCCTAGATTGAAGGCGTCAATCCCAGGAGGGCCTTGATCTTGGTATTTTCTATCTATAATGGGCAAGAACCAGCTGTTCTGCCTCAAATATCCCCTCCTCAGAGGTGCCCTCCAGGTCACCCATCCACCAAAACTGTTGTATTTTCAGAGCAAATTCCTCCCACTAATTATTTTTTATTTTTTAACTTTTTAAACTGCCACAATCTCCATCCCAACTGGAATACCAGCTTTACAAGCACCTAGATGTCTGTTTTGACCATCACTCTTCCGCCTGATCCCTGATACAAAGTGATGATCAATCAACATTTGATTTATAAAACCAACAACCCATATTACAGTTGGGATTTCAATACAGCTGTGAATGTCTTTAAGTTCCTCACAATGCTAGCACTCAGTAAATATAATCCTTTACCTTCAACCGAATTAGTTAAGTGCTTACAATCTGAAGGAGAGAAGAGAGTCAAACACCAGCCATATGGACATCATTTGTTATCTTGTTGAAAAGCAGAATTCCAGGCCCCTCATCTGACCAATGAACACGAATCTATCTTAATAAGATCCCCAGGTGATTCATACCACAGTCAAGATTAGGAACCATGGGGTTAGGGGACAGCTGCAAGCCTAGAGGCTAAAACAAAAGCTGTAACAAAAATCCTCAGGGTCGGGGCACCTGGGTGGCTCAGGCGTCTGCCTTCGGCTAAGGTCATGATCCCAAGGTCCTGGGATCGAATTGCATGGGGGGGGGGGGGGGGTCCCTGCTCAGCGGGAAGCCTGCTTCTCCCTCTCCCACTCCCCCTGCTTGTGTTCCCTCTCTCACTGTCTCTGTCAAATAGATAAATAAAATCTTAAAAAAAAAAAATCCTCAGGGTCTTTTTACCCCAGTATTTCCATTAAATAATAACCTGGATGAAAAAAAGCCCGCTAAGGACTCTAATCAAGTAAGCCTTAAAATGCAACTTAAGAAAACTCCCCGTCTGGCAGGCTCGTGGGCAGGTCAAAGATTTTATAGCAGTTAATTTGTGTGGTCAAAAATAATCTCTTGTAATTTTGAAAGGGCAATAATTCCAACATTATCTTTAAAAAAAAACAGGAAGTTTACCTTCACATCAAACAAGATGTGGAAAGATTCTATGAGACCAGAGCGACTAGTCAAACGTAGAGTGTTCCAGAAAAACCCCAAATCCTTCTGGTGCTGGAACATCAAGGCCTGCTGCTTTTCTGGTATACCCGCCCCGATTAGCCGAAGCAGTTTTCAAGCCACACCTTTTGTAATGTTTCCCCTACCGGTGTTTTACCTTTAAAACGGAGTTCTAAGATCTACCTTTTAGAGTTGTCAATATCACCAAATGATACAAGGTAACAAACTCTTTTAGCACACTGGCTCTTAGTTAGGAGGCACTGCCCATCATTTCCCTAAACAGCCCGGAAGCTGCACAAATCTCGCCATCCTCCTCTCCATCACTTAACCAAGGCGGCACCTAATAACTAAATAAATGCAAAAAACTACTCAAAAGTGTTGCTTTGAGGAGATACCTACTACCGTGGCTCCACCATTTGCAATGTCTATTTTAAAATACCATAAAGAGCAAATAAAGTTTCATCTGTACCGTGCAAGAGCAACACTGCGGTATTGGTAATGGGTAGCTTGAGACGTCTACCTCCATCTAGAAAGGACTAGTTTTCAGTTACACCAAGCATTACCAGAAGTGCCTTAACGGAAAGGTTTCTCTTTTCCAGGGATCCCAATAATACACCTATTGTGCGTGAGGGCCACACACTAACCTGGAAGGCTGCCTCTTCCCCGCCCCGGGTCATTTCCCAAGTTGGCAGTTTGCCCAGTCAGCCCCAGGGCCGGCCTGAGGATGCCGTGGCTTCTCGTGGTTATCGCTTCACCTGGGACACAGGGGCTCGGAATTGCTCTTCCACCCCCAAGGAGCAGAGGCCATTTTGGCCCCTCAAGCCCGCTCTCCCCGCACACTTCCTCCGACGCAGGCAACATGTCGGCTGGCCGCGCGCGGACCGGCCCTTCCTCGTAGGTGTCTAAGCCCCGCGGCAGGTCCGCGTCCGTGAGCCCCGGCCGGTGCGCGCCAGCGCGCGCCCAGCTGGGACTGCCCGGAGGCAGGTCCGCCCACCTGGCGGCGGCCTTTGGGTCACGGGTGAGGATCCGAAGCGTGAGCAGCTTCCCTCGAAATACAGCCTCACTCGAAATTAAATCCCCGCCCCCAGGCTTAAATTGACGCGGGCTCGCACAACTCCCACTAACTGGATGCCAACGAGCCGACCGGCCCACCCCAGGGCTCTAGCAATATTTCCCGGATTAAACCGGCCCCCGCTCTCCCCCGCCCGCGATACCCGAGGGGTGGGTGGGGCGGAATCGATAAGGTCCTCCCCCAGCCCCGGGATCCCAGCCGCCCTGGCCAGCGAGCGCCCCCCGACCCCGGCTCCAGCCCTCAGGCTAAGGACCCTGGAGGAGCCGGGCGTGCGCCCCTCTTCCTGAGGACCTGCCAGCATTACAGTCCGGAGAGCTGAGCACTGGGCTCGCCCGGTTCGAGAACCGCCCGCCCCCCATCAAAGCGACAAGGTGCCCGCGCCGCCGGGACACAGGGAGCTATAAGCGTTTCCGCCGACGGAGCTGATCGGCGGCTCCAAGTGGCCCTTCGCCGAGGCAGCCTCCAAGTTAGACCAGCGCTGCTCCCCCAGCGGACTCGCTCCCTTCCCACTCCCGCCAGTCCCAGCCCAGAGCGAAACCGCCACCGAAACTAGCGCCGGGCGTCCTCCCCCCGCGCCTCCCCTACAGCACCGGAGCCACGATCCCGCGCGGGGACTCTGAGGCTACCGTGCGCCCCCAGCGCCGCGCCCAACTCTCACCTACTCACTGCAGCCCCGCCCGACCCACCAAGGACCGCGGGAGCCAAAGAACGCGCTTACTTGGCGAGCGCACCTGACGCTGTGCGGGCCGCCCGCACGCAGCCAGCGACTAGCCGAGGAATTCAGTCCTCTTCCACTCCTCCTTCTCCTCCTCCTTACCCCACCCCGGCCGTCCTGCCCCCGGGCATGCGCACCAACGCCAGGCCGGTGCTGGACGTTCGCTGTCCCGCGCGAGAGCAGCTCACCTGTTGCACCGGCGCGGGCCCTGGGGTGCTCTGGCTAGCTTTCCCTGGAGTCCCGCCGCCTCCTGCAGGGGAAGGAGAAACTGGCGGGGGGTGGACGCTGGCGAGGAAGCGTGTTGCAGTCGTCTCCGCCCTCAGTGACCCATTCACCTGAAACTCGGAAGGGAGGGGGAAGGGAGCGGTGGAGCAGGAGGCGGGAGGAACCAGCCCTTCTCCGCACACCCTCGCGGCGATCCCAATTAAAGCAACAGCGCAGCTCTGGGGGCCGAGCGTAGAGGAACCGCCCCGGCTCCCCGAAGGTGCAGGCGGCCCTGGACCGCGCTCTGGCGCGCTCCGAGCTCCGTGGGCTTTGGGTAGAACAGAGGAGTATTTGGCCACGCGGCCAAGGGAGGTCTGGAGAGGACTGTTTGAAGGGGGTCCAAGGGTGCTCAGCCCTCTGACACGAAAGGCCCGCCTTACTCAACACTTTCCTGCTCAGAAAATTTTGTGACGATTTTGTTGGAAAGGGGCGCCTGGGTGGCTCAGTCGTTAAGCGTCTGCCTTCGGCTCAGGTCATGATGCCGGGGTCCTGGGATCGAGCCCCGCATCGGGCTCCCTGCTCCGCGGGAAGCCTGCTTCTCCCTCTCCCACTCCCCCTGCTTGTGTTCCCTCTCTTGCTGTCTCTCTCTCTCTCTCTGTAAAATAAATAGAAATTTAAAAAAAAAAGATTTTGTTGGAAAGAAGCAGCCAGAAGTGGGAGATCTCAAAAGTCATTCGTGGGGCGCCTGGGTGGCTCAGTTAAGCGGCTGCCTTCGCTCAGGTCATAATTCCAGCGAGCACCGCATCGGGCACCCCACACGGCGGGAAGCCTGCTTCTCTCTCCCACTCCCCCTGCTTGTGTTCCCACTCTCGTTGTGTCTCTGTCGAATGAATGAATGAATGAATGAATGAATGAATGAATAAAAATCATTCGTAAGTTAAGGAACTGTTTCTGAATCTCTGGAGCCAGACAAAAGACCATTACTCAGAGTAGTTAGATGAAGGTGAAGGATGATAGATACTGTTGGTAAATTTGCCATGAAAAGAAAGTTCATACTGTAGTATACATTATGACCAACTCAAGGTCCTTTGCCCCCCCCAAGGGATTTAAACTATTTTAATATTCTCTTGGCTTAGAAAAAAAAAGCCCTAGTTCTGTGTGCTATGCTCTATTTCTTGATCTGGAGGCTGGTTCCATAGGAGTGTTCACTCAGGAAAATTCATAATCTAACACGTAGCATTGTGTATCCTTTTATATATGCATGTAGTAGATCAATATATTTTTTAAATTGTACTCCAAATTCCTCAAAATTTAAAAATAACTACCCTATTATCCAGGATTTACACTACTAGGTATTTATCCACAGGATATAAAAATACAGATCCAAAGGGATACATGCCCCCAATGTTATAGCAGCATTATCAACAATAGCCAAACTATGGAAAGAGCCCAAATGTCCATCAACTGATGAATGGATAAAGATGGGGTGTGTGTGTGTGTGTGATGGACTATTACTCAGCCATTACAAAGAATGAAATCTTGCCATTGGATGGAGCTAGAGTGTATTATGCTAAGTGAAATAAGTCATTCAGAGAAAGACAAATACCATAAATCTCACTCATCTGTGGAATATAAGAAAGAAAATAGATAAACATATGGGAAGGGGGGAAAGAAAAAAAGAAGAGAGGGAAACAAGCCATAAGAGACTCTTACTGATAGAGAACAAACAGGGATGATGGAGGGAGGTGGGTGGGGGATGCGCTAGATGCGTGATGAGTATTAAGGAGGGCACTTGTGATGAGCACTGGGTGTTGTATGTAAGTGATGAATCACTGAATTCTACTCCAGAAACCAATATTGCACTGTATGTTAACTACCTAAAATTTAAATTAAAAATTTTTTAAAATTGTACTCCAGAATGTTGCAATTTTAGTTCTTGCAATTTAACTATCTGCATTAAAGGCTAGAATTTCAGTTTCCTGCTCTATGTTGTGTTCCAATCTGGAATGTCGGCATTGCTAATTAATTTTTGTCCAATCCCACCCATTTCTCTGCCTTTAATTACATGGTTAGAGATGTGACTCTCCCATACATTAGATCTTTAGGCACAATTCAATGCTTAAGGAAGTAAAAGCATTATATAAATATAAGGTGTTTGAAACGATGACAGCCTTAATGGGTAGTTAATCTAATTGTGTGTGTGTGTGTGTGTGTGTAAATCTTTGCTACAATTATTTTAGCATGACCCTGTAGTTTTTGAATGATGCAGTTTAAATTGGTGTTCTTAACACTGGGGAAGTCAGGTTAATCCTCTTAATGTTCGCTGTCAGATTACTGAAATCTCCAAACATTCCATTCAGTTTATAATTAAACAAGGGAACGTTTCCTAATACTCTCAGACTTTTAAACACACATCTATTATTTTATAGTGTACTTTGATATGTTCTGAAGAGAACTTAGTTTTCTTCCACTTTTTAAAAATTGAAATATATTTCATATACCATAAAATTCACCCTGAATTTTAAAACATGCAGACAAGTCAGTGGTTTTTCTTACATTCTCAAGGTTGTACAATTACCACCACTAACTCCAGAAATCTTGTGTCCATTAGCAGTCACTCCCCATTGCCTCTTGCCTCCAGACCCTGGCAACCACTACCCTACTTTCTGTCTCAATTTGCCCATTCTGGACATTTTACATGAATGGATAATACAATATGTGGCCTTTTGTGTCTGTCTAAGAATAGCATAATGTTTTCAAGGTTCGGTCATGTCGTGGTAACTGCCAGTACTCCATTCCTTTTTTCTTTTTTTTAAGATTTTATTTATTTATTTGACAGAGAGAGAGCAAGCAAGCACAAGCAGGGGGAGCAGCAGAGGGAGAGGGAGAAGCAGGCTCCCCACTGAGCAGAGAGCCCCACCCTGGGCTAGATCCCAGGACCCTGAGATAGTGACCTGAGCCAAAGACAGATGCTTAACTAACTGAGCCACCCAGGCGCCCCTCTCCTTTCCTTTTTATGGCTGAATGTATTCCATTGCATGGATATACCACATTTTGTTTAAACTTTCATCAGTTGATGGACATTTGGTTATTTCTATTTTTTTGGCTATTATCAATAATGCCACTATGAATATGCATGTTCAAGTGTTTGTGTGGACATATGTTTTCAATTTTGGGGGGTGAATTAGGTTTTTATTTTTATTTATTTTTTTAAAGATTTTATTTATTTGAGAGATGGACTGAGATAGAGGGAGAGCATGAGAGGGGGGAGGGTCAGAGGGAGAAGCAGACTCCCTGCCGAGCAGGGAGCCCGATGTGGGACTCCATCCCGGGTCTCCAGGATCATGACCTGAGCCGAAGGCAGTCGCCTAACCAACTGAGCCACCCAGGCGCCCTGAATTAGGTTTTTAAATTAAACTTTTTATCATTTTAAGAGACCAGCTTATGCATAGAATGTTATTTTTCTTATTCCCACACTAAACCTAAACCCAAAGGCATATGTTAGGATAGAAGGTGAGTTGCCATATTTTATTTATGTCCCAAATCCATTCATTCAACCACTATTTTCCGAGGGCCTACTATATGAACAGTAGTGAACAAAATCCAGAAATCCCTGTCTTTGTGAAGCTTACATCCTAGTTATTGCCAAATTCATGAAGATGAAATAATCAGATTTATTAAGTTGAACTATATGAATTGGTAAGTTTTATCTACATTTTTAACTACAAAATGGCAATTTCATATGGTTCAATTTAATAGTGAGCTAAATTTCTATTGGAATATTATGTAATATTTTTATTCCACTCAGGTTAATTTCCCAGACAATGCTCACAACATTGAAAAATCTAAAAACTTTGTTCTTTTAACTATTTCTTAATGGTGTGCATATTAGGTAGTAGTTGAAAATATTCAGAAAGAAAAGCTAGCCTGAAAACTTAAAGACATCATTCTTCAACAGCAAGATAAAGTTTGTTGAATGCTACATGATGCCATGTTCAATGTAATCATGTTCTATAACAAATTGTAGCAAAGTTTTAATTATTTTTAATCAAATATTCCTTCCCAGCAACTCAGTAGTATTTTCGACTATCATACACTATTGAACATTATTTGATGAAAATTCTCATGACTCAGAAACAAAGTAAATATTATTCTCAGAAGACCTGTGATTAGAAATTTGTTGATTTTACATGCAGCCAAATGAATGATAAGATTTAAAAACCAGTTTTTCTTCCTTTTTTCTATCTAAAGGAGAAAGTTCAGAGCTCAGAATATGCTGTCAGAAATTTGGGTTCAGATCTCAATGTTGTCACTTAGTAGCTAGATAACATTAAACTACATAAGCCTCTTTTTTCTCCACTGTAAATATGGGATGATGATAAGTAGTACTCTCTTCCTAAGACTGTTGAGCGGCACATTCATCAAGACAGACGATATGCTGGGCCTAGGCTTATATCCCTAGGACTAGTTTCAGGGGAGAGAAGATGAGAGATTTAGAGTATTTTCCCTCTGCTCTATCTGCTTAGTGAATGAATTCAGTGACTGGCATTTGTTCAAGGGCAACTCAGTTTGGAGTTGGTGAGGGCCTGGCCTAAAGTGCCTCTGGGTGCCCCACCCAGTCACGAGTGGGGAAGCTCCCAGTCCCCAGAGGCCAATTTCCTTGTACAGATTTATGGAGGAATTCTTGGGGAAGTCACTGGGAAGGCAAATTCTGAGAAGATGGTGACACATGGTAAGTTAAAGCTTTATCACCTCAGTTGCTATGTACTGAGCAAGATCCTTCTGGAGGGATCCAAGGTTCAACAGAGTGAGCACCTGGATGGGAACTTCAACAAGTGGAATGATGGTACTACAAACGCCATCATTATC